TATGCTCAAACAGTACTGACTTCTGGAGACTAAGAATATTCTCTGGAGATCAAAATTGGAACAGAAAAATACATTTTAGACATCTCTCACAAAGTGAGGAAAATGGGGAGAAAAGTATAAATGGAGGTAACCTTAGCTAAATATGACAGTCTAGACACTGGGGTGTGGGAGGGAGAGAATTCCTCAGCCTGGCCTGTGCCCTCTTGTAGTGCAGGACCCCTCGCTCCTTACAGCCCACCTGCCCGCTGCTCCTTACTGCTCAGCTGGCTGCTCCTCAGCACTTCTATGGAGGCAGGAGAGGCTCCCGCCACCACCGCTGAGCTCCCCAGCTGTGATCCTGGCTTCTAGCTGAGCAGAGCTCCCCCTGTGGGAGTGCACTGACCACCAGGGGGCACGTCCTGCATTGAAGGTTGGTGCCCAGGTGATCAGTGAGCATCATAGCAACTGGTTATTCTGGTCATTCCACCGCAATGGTCGCTTAGGCTTTTATTATATAGACTAGAGACGCGTTGAACAAAGATTCATGCAATAGGCCTTCCTTTCCCTGGCTGCCAGCACCGGTTTTCCTCCGGTACCCGGGACCCAGGCACAGCGGAGCCAAGCCTTTAGCCTTCAGGCGTGGCTCCAGCCACAGAGGAGCCTAGAGTCTTCAGTCTTCGCTTGGGCAGAGCCTTCAGTTCCTGTGTATGCAAATTAACTGTTCCTGTGTATGCAAATTAACCACAATTTTTGTTGGGTTAATTTGCATATCCACTACTAATTGGCTGGTGGGCTTCGCAGAGGTACAGTCAATTTGCATCTTTTTCTTTTGTTAGTGTAGATAACTCATCCAAAGAAAAATATAAGTAATGCTTAAATAAGAATATAAATGGACCAATATGCTGCATCTATACTTGTTTTACTTCTTGGCATTCTGGTCACAAGCCTCCAGAAATCTTCAAAGCAGTCCAAAATTGAAAGAATCTTCACAAGCCCCATCAACACTGAGTTCCTGTTTTGGTTGAGATAAGCAGGCTTCCAATCAGCACATTATCATTATGATTAAATGTTAAGAGGAGTTTTGGGAGATGATTTTAAGAACAATATAGTGACTTTATTTTTCATCACATTTCAAATTTTGTAAAATATACTATCTATACCTTTTAAGATGTAAATAAATTTTAGAACTAAAAGAAATGATCCCTATTTCACAGTACAGAGTCATGCAAGGATTGCCTTAAATCTATTGGTGAGCAGTGTATAATCCTTTATCTTGTTGTATAATACTGTGCAGAGGTGAAGTGACTTGTGTAAGGTCTCACTGATGCTAAATGGTGGCATAAGAAATAAGATCTAGGTTAGAGTCATTTCCTTTCCCCCACTAGGGCTGGGAAACATTTTTTCTGACAAGGGCCATATGGATATTTAAACATCATTCAAGGTCCATACAAAATTTTCAACTTAAAAATTAGCCTGCTATATTTGATCACACATTTAATTAACTCACCCCTGATACCTTGGCAGAGTCAGGCCAAATGATTTTGTGGGTTTTATATGGCACATGGGCCAGATGTTCCCCACCCTGCGCCTAAGCCATGCTGCATTTATATACTACCTTGCTCCTAGAGAAATCTATAGGAGACACAGACATTTGAGAAATAAACAACTTCAAATAGGTATCTTGATGAGCTCATTGCCATAATTGTCTTTAATGTGATTTTACTGATTTTGGAGAAAGAGAAAAGAAGAGAAAGGGAGAGAAACTTGGATGATAGAAACATCGATCGGCTGCCTCCTGCATGCATCTACTGGGGATTGAGTCCACAACCCCAGTATGTGCCCTGATGGGGAATAGAACCAACAACCTTCTGGTACATGTGACGATGCCCAACCATCAGAAGCACACCTGCCAAGACACATTACCATGATTTTAGTCTACTAAAACTGAATTGAAAAACTGGTTCAAGCCTCCAGTTCACCTTGGTTCATGTTATATAGGCCACACATTAAGGTCTATGACTTTTAAAAAATATGTCTCAAATAAAAGCAGAAGAAATCAAAGTTGGTTATACTGAGATGGGTTAATTAAATTTATTTCCCACCTTTTGCTCTGTTTACTTTAAATGGCCTCTTTTTCAAAACTTAGATTTATACAAAAAAGGCAGTCAAACTCATAACTGTATCAATAGGACAAGGAGATATCAGTAGAAATAAAGTGTGAGTTTGTGTGCATATTAGAAAGCTTAGAAATGGCAAGCGTTTACTCACTGAAGAGCTGTAAAGCCTCCAAAGTCAACATGTGCCAGTTGGATCCCTGCAGAGCCTGTTCAGCTCTGGACCCAATAGCCAAGATCAAGGCCATTTGCTGTTAAGAGCAGACCTTGAACAGTATTTATCAAGGTCTTTTTTATTTTTTTTAAAGCACCACAGCTGTTTGGAACATTGAAACCAAACTGCACTTGCCCAAAAGCCTTGTTCTTTTTGGGTGTCCTACTCTTTATGAGGTAGTTCTGTCCTAAATCTATAAGCTCTAGAATAAATGACATTAAAACAAAAAAACAAAAACTGCAATACCATTGCCACACTGTCACTAAAAATCCAACCAGGATGTAAAGGATGGGAAAATGCTATTTACAACTTCTAAGGTAGGCAAATCCTATTGAATGAACTCCCACCTTTTTCTACTGAAAAACTCAGTTGGTTTGACTAAGGGCCTAAGTTTATGATTAATTAGGTGACATTAATAGAATTATACCAGTTTCATGTGTACAATTCTAATACATCCTCTGTATATTGTTTTCACTACCCCAAGTCTCATTCCATTACAATTTGTACCCTTTACCCTCTTCTACCTGTAAGAAAATGTTAATTATATTTAGCTCTGTGTTCCTTATCTATACTGCAGGAGGTCAGGAAAAAGCAGGGCTAACTGATATTGATGTCTGGATAATTCCTTGCTCTTATCTGAACAAGTAACTTTTTTCCTCTCCCTTTATGTTATTAAACCTGCTAAGCAGCAGCTAATGATGGACATCCTTTCCCAGGGCCCACACACCCTCTGGTGGAGATAAGTAATCAAATCCCACACACTGGTGTCCTAATGTTAACTTGTCAAAGGTAACTCCAGGTTTTTTTTTGTTTGTTTTTTTACTATCAGAAGCATCTTAATCTTCGTAAAGATTAACAGGGCCTGTGACCATAAGCATTCATTGCCAGATGATAAAAAAAATCATTGCTGTCTCCTCACATGCCTCCCTCTTTACACACTGTTTTATAAGATTGGAGTCCTTTTATGAAAGAAACAAAATAATTATCAACAATAGCAGTTTTTATATTGTTAATTGCTCCCAAGCAGTGATATTTGCTATAGTAATCTCTCTTTTTTTTAAATACATATTTTATTGATTTTTCACAGAGAGGAAAGGAGATGGATAGAGAGCTAGAAACATTCATGAGAGAGAAAAACACAGATCAGCTGCCACCTGCACACCCCCTTACCGGGGATGTGCTCGAAACCAACGTACATGCCCTTGACCGGAATTGAACCCAGGACCCTTCAGTCCGCAGGCTGAAGCTCTATCTGCTGAGCCAAACCGGTTTTGGCAATCTCTTTTCGTATATTAAAGAAAACCATCTCCTCCCACCCCAATGTTTAAATGATTTTTAAAAGGTTGTATTAAGAGCTTTTCCAATTTCTAGGTTTAATAAACTTTCTGGCTTACAGTTAAGAATACCAGATTCTTGCACTAGATAAATGTAAAAAAGAATCCGATATTCTTATTTCTATTGTTTTTTTTTTTTTAAAGAACATAATATCCTTATAGAAATAGTGCCAGACACTTTCAAACACTGATTTTTTCTGCCACATCATTTCAGATATATTAAAATTGCAAGGAAGATAGCAAACATTGAGGAAGAATGTAATAAGACATTGAACTTCATTAGAGTGTTCCACACAAAAATGTTACATAGGACCAATATTATAAAATCATAAGTTAACATTTCACCTAAGGATATTTTTGGTGGTGAAGCTAAGAGTTACCATATTTGCTGAATATCCTTCAGAAAAGGACTTAACTTTTATCAGTCATCTATAAAACCAGTATCCAGATATTTCTGTGTGTACAATTCAAATGAGCAATAAGAAACGAGATGCTGGTTACCCAAGCATTGCAGGATGATGGAAACGGAAACACACCAAGGAGAAGGAGACACTGGCTTCCCCTCTACTCAAAATGTGATTGTCCCAAGCCATTTACCTTTTTTTTTTCCTCCTGAAGATCAGAGGGATAAAATTTATCTGTTTATCTCCCAGGTTTCTCATCAAGGCCTTGCCCTACCCAATCCTGTTCACATGTGGCTCTTCTCCCTACATATTTTAGGAGGGAGAACTTATTGTTTCGAGAAAAGTTCCCAGTAAATCAGAAAGTTTGGGATGTAATATTTAGAAATATATAGGGGACAAGGAGAAAAGAAAGAAGAGAAAGGAAGAATGGAAGTGAAAGTTTATGTATTGGGTGGAGATTGTGTTGGTTAGATAACAAACCTATCCCATCACTACCTCCAATCCCCACATACATATAGTACAAAGATGATAACTTGGCAGATAGTCTATGAGTAAAAATAAGTATCATTATAACAGGAAGAATAATGAGAAAATAACCAAATATACTTTTATGTACTTAACTATTTAAGCCAAATCTTAACTTCGATTGGAGAATCACCCATAAAAGTGGAATTAGGGGACTTATTTTCAAGAATGAAATAAAAAACTTACGTGATAAAATTTAAAAACCTAGAAATGCAAACACCTTTTATAATTTTATTTTCACTAAGAGATTACATTTTAAAAATCTTATTTTAAAAAATTTAGACTAAGATTACATTTAAAAAATCTTATTTTAAAAAATTTAGAAAAAATAATACATACAGTTTGTGAATCATGAGTGGTCCTGTGCATCTGAGGTGAGATCAAATGAATGCATGCCAAGTACTCACTGAGGCATGGTGGGTCATGCAATTTAATCTAGCTTCTTTGCTATTTTCATTATATCTAAAACAAAAGGATTACGGTGTCTCAGGATATAATTCTGCATTAAAGTAACTTCTTATTTGGAGGACTGCACATAGAGAACTCCTGATCATTTATAATTGTAAGCTCTGGTACCATTCTTAATGTCAAATGTACTTAAGGTTTGTGCTTATGTTTTAAAAATGAAATCTAACCCCAGCTGGTTTGGCTCAGTGGATAAGAGCGTCGGCCTGTGAATTGAAAGGTTCCAGGTTTGATTCCAGTCAACGGCACATGCTGGGTTGTAGGCTTGATTCCCAGTGGGGAACTTGCAGGAGGCAGCCTATCCATGATTCTCATTGTGGATGTTTCTTTCTCTCTCTCCCTCTTCCTTCCTCTCTGAAATCAATAAAAATACATTAAAAAAATCTATGCAAATTAAAGAAGTACTAGTTGAGTATTTTAACATACATAAAAGGTTGCTATTAAGGAATATCAAAATGAGAACTGTATAACATCATTACGTTTCTGAAAAATAAGAACATTGAAACTCGTAGATGTTTCCAGATATCCTTGTCTGCTTAAAGGTTATTTGGAAATCGGTAACTCCAGGTCATTTCTGCTTTCCTTGCTTGCGTGGAAGATTGGGTAATGTCGTTAATTTAGAGAACAGGAACAATATCTAATGACAAATGAGAATTTTCTTTATAAGTTCAGCCAAATTGAGAGTGCAGCCAAAGTCAACATCTCCTCAAACTAGTGTGATTTCAAAGGCACAAGTGGTAGGTGATTAAACCTCCATTATCATCTTTCTGTAGCTTTTTAGTTCACAAAAGTGTTTACATATATTTTAGCATACTCCCAATTTATTGTGATTAAATTTCACTAAATCAACTTTCACTTTTGGGGGTTATCAGAATTAAAGTAAATAAATGATGAGGTATTATAAAAAAAAAACTGTAATTATAAACAATCAGATTACATGATAAAAGACCAGCATACTTTTCTGAGGAATCAAATACTGTAGAATTTACCAGGTTGAGTCTCCATCATGACTTTATAGAGCAGTGTTCTTTCTTACGCCTACACTTCTAGACTCACAGCACCTTCCTTCTTACCGAGATCCAGGCAATGAGGCATTTCACACACTGTTAGCATCTCAGGAGGGCATTTCTTGGCCCACTTCACCCACATTCCACCATTAGAACGGCCAGGGCCACTCATGTTCAGGTATAGTGCTACTATGCCTGGAAATGAGCCAATGCTGCCACTTCTACAACACTTCTCTGCTCCTTCCTTTACAACTCAATCAAAATGTACAAATGTTTTCTACCGCCATTATTAACTTTGTTGGCACTATTCGGAATCTCCCATTTTTAAAACACAAGTATAGCCACGGCTGATGTGTACAGTGGTTAGAGCACTGACCACCACACCACAGGGTTGCAAGTTTGATCTCCAGTTGGGGTGTGTGCTGAGGCAATCCATGTGTCTCTCTCACCAAGATGTTTCTCCCGCCTTCCCTCCCTCCCTCTAAAAAAAATAAAATAAAATAAAAGGAAAAAATAACCCTCACATTTCACAGGATTAACAAAAACAAAAAATACACAATTGCATATATTCCAATATTCAGAGGGTCCCATTCTTAACTTACTGACTTATTACTTTTAACCATTTACTCAGTGACTCCTACATTGAAGATACTGCGCTAGGTTCTAAGGATACAGCAGGGATAAGACATCAAAGCTCTCACAAACTCGCATTCTGAGAATTTTGTGATCAGATTAATTCATATATTGGGACTTGCAAAATGGAGGCCGCCCCACATCACAAATCTAACCCCAAGTCAGCTGCTTTTATGGGAAACAGCTCTCAAGGAAAACGAATCTATTACATCAACCACAATCCTCCAAGTCAGCTTTAGCTAGCTCACCTGGCCCTAGAAATAGGACTCCTACCTTTACAAGGAAATCCTTGCCCTCTTAGCCAGTCCTGCCCTGTGCCCAAGTTGCTTCATCTAATGCTCTAGAAAACTCACTTCTTGCCCCAAATTCTTTGTGAACAGCGCTCCACTGCTTGTGAGGCACCATATCCCCCAACTCATGGATCACTTTCCCCTTAAATAAAGGACATTACTGTGTTCCTAAATTGCTTTGGCATATGACAGGCGGAACAGGAAAGATTATCTTAATGTTAGAAATGGGGATAAAAGACAAATTAACCAGAAATTACCAGGTACTGCTAATGCTCTATAGCAAACAGAGTATGTGACTGAGAGAGACGAGGGGATGATTTCAGGTGGGGCATCAGGGAAGGGTCTCTGAAAAAGTCACATTTACACTGATATCAGAATGACAAACAGTGACACTGACTATATGCAGCAGGCTGCGGCCAATAAAGGATTCTGCTCTTTGCAAGCCCTCAATAAATGTGAAACTCAAGTAGTTATCTCTAAGATATGTGATCCTTATTGTAAATAAATCATATAATGCTTAACATTAAAGAATATAAAGTCAGATTAGTTTGCGTTGCCCTAGAACACCTATGTAGACAATATTTTAAACAGTAACATCTACTTACATTATAAATATTTAAAATAGGTCTCAATGGGAAAAAGACCACCTACTTTGGGTGTTATCATCATTTTATATGATGCACATATAAAACATTTATTTGCATAGTTTTACCACATTAATAAAAATGTTATGGGAATGTTAAGCCTGAGAATGATTTGTAGAAAGGAAGAGCATTTCTTTCCACAAAGATATTACTTCATCCTATCATGTACTATGCTCAGAAGTCCAGGCCCAATTGAAGATTCCATGCCCTTGTACTCAACCATGTTCATACTTTCACGTTTACCTACTGATGTTCTGAATATTTGTACTTGTTCCTCTTTAAACAACAGATTCTGACAGAAAACTCAAAATTATACTTTTTACTATTCCTGATCCCAGGATAAGAATGATAAAACCTGTTGACATTAGAAGAGACAAGCCCTGACCACTGTTAAAAAAGAAACAAGCCCCACATGGAGTCACGTGCTATGCAAGCTACGACTTAACACCTAAGCTATCTGGGCTTCCCCTTCCCCAGGAGTGTTGTCAGAACTGGTCAGTGTGAAGTGAAATCTTTTGGCCATCACCAATAAGGTAATCTGCCTCATAAGCTTTTCCCCACCCGTAAGAGGAATATAGAGGAAAGAACATCCAAACCAACAGAGAATTTTGTAAGTTTATTTGAGCCAAATTTTACAATATGCCTGGAAGCAAGATCTCAACAGACTGAGAAAATGCTCCAGAGAATGGTAGTTCTGCAGTCTCATTCATGCACTTAAATTCAAAGAGAAAAACACAGGGAAGAAATATGAAGTCCACTGCTGGTACATTAAGGAGGCAGGAGAAAGCAAAGCGGGGAAATCTCTAGGACTGGATAAAAGGCAAAACGGAGAAACACATATTTCTTCTACGTTGGTGGGTACAAAGTAGTAAGTGCTTAGCATTTATAGCACACAGAGATGGTATGCGAGGAACAAGACAACAATGATGGGTTCTGTGCTGTGCTCTGCGGAGTCTATAAAACAAAATTACTCTGACATTTCAAAGGTATGTTATCTTAGCTTCATAAGAACAATGGACATGGCTCACTTAAGGTAAAGACTGACTTTTTCTAAGAAAGTGATAGGCCTGGGCTGAGTGATCTACCCCATTAGGAATATGTGATCAGACCACCCAGTGTGGTTACTTTGTTAGCCTGCCAAGTGGCCCCTGAGTTTGGCCCCTCATTTTGTTCACAGGATGATGATGTAATCTGCCACAGACCCTTTCTGTCCACCACAGATATGTTACCTAGACCAGAAATAATTTTTTTTGTGCTTGAATGGCCTTTAAAAACCTGCCCCTTTCTATAGCCCTGGATGCCGCTTCACTCATGAATTGCTCAATGAAACCAATCGGATCTTCAATTTTACTCCACTGAATTTTTTGCATCACTGACCAGGGACAAAAACTCAAGGGAAAACATGATGCACTTTATCAACAATATATGATGTGACAGGTTTTCAGATATCCACTGTGGAAAAGTTGATGAAAATTTACACCTTTATTTTTATGGAATAAAAATAGAAACAGTAATGGAAAATTGAGATAACATCGCTCCAAAATTCAGGTTCTTCTCTGCCCGTTGAAATGCTGCATCACAGGAAATGTTACTCATGCTTAAAACTCTATTAAGCCACTCAAAGCTACAATTCAAGGAAAATTTGAAAAATTTTTCAGTGAGTTTCAGTGAGAACATTCTTTATTGGTAAGCAGACACTTAAAAACTTTTTGATTACACACATCATGCAAAACAACTGACTTCATACATGGTTGTCTAACTGCTCATTGTGACATATTCTCCTTTGAGATGATAATAGATTTTAAAAGTTACAATGACTGTAATAAAAAAAAATCAGGAAAATGACTCTAAATGAAGCAAAATACTATATAATTCATGTAAAAGTCTTGTTCATCCCTTCTGGATGTTTAATTCTCTCCCCTAATGCAAATCTCTATATTTTGGAAGACTATTATATACAAAACTGGCAGCTATTTTATATGTGCTAGGCACTCTACATAACTGATAAAAAGAAATTGCAAGAATAAAATTTCAGATATTACAGGATCTGGTTAATTTCCCCCTGGTTTTGGTAATCCAAAACAGGAAAATGTTTTTATTTAAAACTAGAGGCCCAGTGTATGAAATCTGTGCAGGGATATGTCCCTCAACCCAGCCTGCACCCTCTCCAATCTGGGACATCCCTCTCACAATCCAGGACTGCTGGTTCCCAACTGCTTGCCTGCCTGATTGCCCCTAATCACTTCTGCCTGCCAGCCTGATCACCTCCTAAACACTCCCCTGCCAGCCTGATTGACACCTAACTGCTCCCCTGCCAGCCTGTTTGCCTCTAACTGCACTCCACTGAAGGCTTGATCACCCCTAAATGCTCTCCCCTGCAGGCCTGGTCCCCCCCAACTTCTCTCCTCTGCCAGTCTGGTCATCCCTAACTGACCTCCCCTGCAAGCTTGATCACCCACAACTGCCCTCCTTTGCAGGCCTGGTCCCTCCCAATTGCCCTCCCCTGCTGGCTGTCTTGTGGCAGCCTTCTTGTGTCCACATGGGGGCAGCCATTTGTGTTGGAGTGATGGTCAATTTGCATTTTACTCTTTTATTAGATAGGATAGCGGCCTGATGCACAGGTGGGGGCTGGCTGGTTTGCCCTGAAGGGTGTCCCAGATCAGGGTAGGGATTCTCTTGGGGCGTGGGGTGGCCTGGGCGAGGGGCTTGTGGTGGTTTGCAGGCTGGCCATGTCCCCCGGCAACCCAAGCGGAGGTCCTGGTATCTGGGATTTATTTATCTTCTATAATTGAAACTTTGTAGCCTTGAGTGCACACCTGGGCCTGTCAGGGTGTGCAGAAAGCTTTACTTCCTCCATCACCGGAGGCAACTCAAGCCTCCTGCTCTCTCCAGCTCTGTGGCTGCCGCCATTTTTTATTGGGATTTTTTTAACTTCTATAATTAAACTTTATAGCCTTGCGTGGAGGCCTGGGCCTGCCAAGGTGTGCAAAAAGCTTAGCTTTCTCCATTGCTGGGGAAACCCAAGCCTCCTACTCACTCTGTGGCTGCAGCCATCTTGGTTGGTTTAATTTGCATACTCACTCCTGACTGGCTGGTGGGAGCGGCTTGTGGGCTTGTGGGTGCAGCAGAGTGATGGTTAATTTGCATATCACTCTTTTATTAGATAGTACGTTCATTTGTTTCAATAGATTTTTTTCCTTAAAAAGATGATTTTGTTCCTGACAGAGTGGTATCCATGGACATCTTTTTAAACTACAAGTGCTCTTTGAACTATTATTTATATATTCTCCAAGTTGTTTTCAATAAGGAAAGAAACAGGGCTTCCTATTCTGAGGGGATACAGGAATAATCTTCTTACTCTATGTTATGACATTGAGAAAATATTTTCTTTGTGGTGGTGGGATCAACATTTTATCTATGGAATTTCTGATAGCACTCCAGTATTAGAACCCCTCATATAGGTAAATTCACTGCCTTAAAATAACCACTCGGCCGGTGTGGCCCAGTGGTTGAGTGTTGACCTATGAGCCAGGAGTTCACATTCATTTCCTGGTCAGGGCACATACCGGGTGTGGGAGATCCCCTGTAGGGGTGTGCAGGAGGCAGCTGATCAATGACATTTCTCTCTCCTTAATGTTTCTATCTTTCTCTCCCTTTCTCTCTAACAATCAATAAAAACATATTAAAAGTAAATAAATTCCCAGAGCCCCCTGAGAAAGGTGAATTTCAAATCTCCTATTGGCATATCAAGTCAACTGGCAGTGAGTTGGCACAGAACACATTTCTAGATCCCTGAAAGTGGGGTGTTGCCACAGCAAACACCTGAAAGTACAGAATGACTCTGAAATCGGGCAGTGACTAGAGGATGAGAGAAATTTTAGGAGAATGACATGAAAAGTCAAGATTTCCTTGAACACTGTTATTAGATATATAGATGAATTCTAGTGAGGGCTCAAAGGAGGTAAGGAGCATGGTAGAGAATGGTAAACTGTCATGGAAAATATCTAAATCGTCGTGAGAAATAAGGACATTAAAGGTGCTGCCAGTGAGGGCTCAGAAGAAAATGAGGATCATACTGTTAAAAACTAAAGAAAAAGAGATTAGAGTTATATACTACAAAATCTTAGATGAAGTGTGTCCTGTGGTAAGGTGAAAAGTAGAACTTTTAAGTGCTAGAATTACTATATTTAGCTAATGAGATTTCTAAGCAAACGGTGGAGGGTGCAGCTTATGGGGGGCCAGCTGGCTGGGGGAAGGGACCCTGAGAGGTTGGCCGGCCAACCCCCCGATCAGGGCACAAGAGGGGTGAGGGGAGCAGTGGCTGGCAGGGATGAGGGACCATGGGAGGTTGGCCAGCCAAGGAGAGGGCAGCAGTAGGTTGGCCGGCCAGGGGGAGAGACCACAGGAGGTTGGCACTGGTGGTCAGTGTGCATCATAGCGACTGGTCATTCTGGTTGTAACCATTGCTTAGGCTTTTATATATATAGATGTGGGAGGAGACAGATAAATTGAGAGAATTGTTAAATAAATATAAAGAAAATAGGACTTGATGACTTTGAAATTCTCAGCCTACTCAGATAGAAAAAGACATTAAAATGAAGAGATTTAGGCCTGGCTGATGTGGCTTATTGATTGAGTGCTGACCCATGCACCAAGAGGACACTGGTTTGTTTCCCAGTCAGGGTACATGCCAGGGTTGTGGGCTTGATCCCTAGTAGGGAACATGTAGAAAGCAGCCAATTTATGCTTCTTTCTCATTGATGTTTCTATCTCTCTATCCCTTTCCCTCTAAAATCAACACATCAACACACACACACACACACACACACACACACACACACACACACACATATATATATTAATGAAGATATTCAGGAAAGCCTGCTCTAGAGAAATAGATAAGGGGACAGCTTTACAACTTTTGCTAATACTCAAGAAAAATAAGAAAGGCCTGAGTAGCCACACAAAAGATTATTTGAAGAGATTAGGGGTATGACTTATAGATCCTCCAGCCATCTCAGAAAAAGTCAGAAAGAGTTGGGATTATCTAGGAAAAATATGTGGAGGAGCCTCTGGTCTACAGTGAATCTCCATAAAATAAACAGAAGATCCACATGTTTTTTCGAGAATGTTATACCAGCAGACACAGCCATCTTCAATGGAAAGGTATACAGAGTGTATGCAATGAGAGATGATCAGACCTCCCAGAATTCCACAGGTAAAAAAGAAGTTGAGACAAAACTACTGGGCTGCACATATGTGCTGTCTTCATGAAGAAGTTAAGACTCTGAAAGGATGTCCTCTCGGATATCCACAAGCCAAGAGGATGGTGCTTCCAGCCACAGAAGACTATGCTTAGGCTTTGACACTGAACGGAGTGTGCCTGACTCATTTTCTAAATTGCCTGGCACTGGTAGCTCCTTTTTTTTTATTCCATTTTCTAATTCTTTGAACAGGAATGTCTATAACTATTATTCTATGCCTGTCTTCTCTTCATATTTGGGAGAAGTTAACTGGTTCTAGGTTCACAGATGGAGAAAAAGTATCTTTCAGGAATGGCACCCAAATCCTTACTCATACTATTTTAGATGATTAAAATAGACTTGGAATTTTAGAGAGGGTGAAATTCAGATAAGACAGTGCATTTGAAGTTGATGCTGTAATGGTTTGAAACTTTTGAGCACCACTGGATGGGGTAGCTTTATTTGGGATGGATGTGAACTTTTGAGGCAGGAGTAAACTGTGGTAGAGGAAATGGCCCCAACAAAATGCTCAGGTTCTAATGCTCAAATCTCTGCATTTTGCAGATGTAATTATAGTAAGAATTTTGAGAGATTATGTAGAAAAACAAAATATAATCACAAGGATCTAATAAGAAAAAAGCAGAATTAAAGTTGGGACTAAAAGAGGTAAGAACAGAAGCAGAGACTGGAGGGATAGAGCTGTAACTGAGGGAATGCCAACAGCTTCTACAAGTTGGAAAAGGTAAAGAACAGATTCACTCCTGGAGCCTCCAGAAGGAATCTGAGATGCTACTTTACATGGTAAAAGGGACTTTAAAGATGTGGTTAAGATTACTATAGACCTGGATGATCTTGTGGACCCAATGTAATCACACGAGTCCTTAAAAGCAGAAAACCTTTCCTGGCTGTTGTCACAGAAATATGATGACACAACGGTAGGAAAGATACAATGCTGCTGGCTTTGAAGGTGGGAACAGAGGGCCGCAGGCCCACCAATGCAAGTGGCCTCCAGAAGTTGAAAGGGCCAGGAAATGCTTCTCCCAGTCTCCCGAAAGAATGCAGTCCTGTCAGCACCTGACTTTAGCCCAGTGAGATTAGTTTAACCTATAGAATTAGGGAATAATAAATCTTTGCTGTTATGAGTCACTAAGTTTGTAGTAACTTGTTATAGCAGCAATAGAAAACTAACCAGGAGTGGTGACCTAAAATAAAATGGTGTTTGGGAAGAAGGACAAGCTTTTCTATCATTCCTGATGTACCTGCCTCACTCAGGAAACACCTGGCTTCAGCAGGAATGCAAACCTTTCCGCTGGTCTTTTTTCAGATTCATTGGGCCTGACAGAATTGATATTCCTGTATATCTATGCTGGTTTTGTTCTTAAGTAGAAAACATTCTGGATTTGACACTTAGCACAGTTTAGTTTCTATAGTGGGCCCCCTAGAAAAATGTGTTGACTGAATAAATGAATGTGATCAAAGCAAGTGCTGGGAGGGACTGTAATTCCTCTTTTTTAAAGTGCTGTTTACCACATCTCAAGAATAGCTGACCTTTCTGTTTGTTTCAAGTTTATAATATTCACAGTTCCATAAAATATAAGACTGAACTGTACTTTTGATACAGTAATATAGCTAAGTCAGTAAGTAAAAAGGATGTATAATATCTTAATAGGAGAAATAATCATTGTATGATCAAAATATTTCAAAATCAGAATACAGTTACTCTTTAGTATATATTACAGGTAAATTTTCAAAACATTTGATCAGGAAATTCCTTAATGGCTTTTGTTCAATGCATCATCAAGAAACTTTACTGCAAATTTTACCAAATTAATCAAAATGGAATTGTGTTAATTTTCTCTGTCAACAAATATTGTTACATGAACTCTGGGCATGTAACAAATTGGTTTGTGTGTATTTAAATGCTATCAACATAAGCTAGCCCTACAAATAATAATTCAAAGATATTTATCTCAAGATCTACTCCTAGTTCAAATTCATCTATACTAAGGGTGGAAGATAAAATAAGAATAAAACCAAAATGAATCTGTATAAATTATAAAAACAATTTGATATTTGTATAAGTAAGTTTTCCTTATTAATATGGCACATCATCTCTCCTTTGCAATGAATAGGAGTAGCATTATTTCAGTTGCTGGAGAATCACAGTGTTAATAATACCTGCTTCTTGTAGTGTTAGGCTTTCATCTGTTAGCTCTTTGCTTGGAAATGAAGTTACAAGAATAAAGTCAAGAGTTGCAAATTCAGGACGGGACTGTACAATGAAGTCCCGAACATCCAGGATCCTGAGAAATAAGATAAAATAATTTGTGATACAGAAGTCTTATGGGAGCTTTTAGCTAAAATTAGATAATAAAAAAATCACACAATTCTAATCCTTATTTAAATGTGTTGTAATTTTCTTTACACTATTTCAATGGATGGATTTATTTTAGCTTTAAGACAAAATATGAGGATTAACATTGGAGTGTACCTAGTATCTACTTTTACTGTAAAAAAGAGACAATCTTCAGATGAGTTATGCATAAAATAAATGCCAACCATGTTGTTATAATGAAAAGTGCAGGCCTACTATTTTTTTATAGTATAAAATATTTTAGCAGCACTAGACCCAGAAAAAGAAAGGAACCTCAAACTGGCCTCTGTCAAAGTGAGTCTGAAACTATGAAAAGTGTCAGTCATAAGAATAGTTTTTTGTTTTTGTTTTTTAAATATGTTTTATTGATTTTCTTACAGAAAGAAAGGGCGAGTGATAGAGAGCTAGAAACATCAATGAGAGAGAAACATCGACCAGTTGCCTCTTGCACACTCCCTACCGGGGATGTGTCCGCAACCAAGGTACATGCCCTTGACCGGAATCGAACCCGGGACCTTTCAGTCCGCAGACCGACGCTCTACCACTGAGCCAAACCGGTTCTGGCAAGAATAATTTTTAAATATTACTTTCACATAGGGCTTTTGGTCAAGATGGTAGCATCAGTAAATGCCATACTCACATTCTCCTACAGCTACATCAAAATTACAACTACAGAACCACCCAGCCAACACACCTGATGGACACTTTAAATCACATAGAAGTACCACCCAACCACTTTCACAAGTGACAAACTCAAATGGCAAACTCAGCAGGCAACAGAGCTGCACTGAAGTAAGTCCTACTCTGTGGGTGGGTCCCTGCACAGCTGATACTCCATGGTGGTCCCAGCCAGTCCTCGCGGTCTGTCGGTTGGGGTTAAATCCTTCCCACCGAACTGCCAACAGCAATCAAAGTTCAACTACAAGAAGAGGGTGTACAAATAGGGGATGCAACTGGACTGCCCATCTCAGGTAAAAATGAATGATAAATGGCAATAATACATACCCAACAATAATTAAACCTAAAAAATAAATGAACTAGCAGAACAGAAACAGACTCATAGATACAGTGAACATTTTGATGGTTGCCAGATGGGAGGGAGAATGAGTGTAAAAAGGTGAAGGAATTAAGTACAAATTGGTAGTTACAGAATAGTCATGGGGATATAAAGTACAGCATAGGGAATATAGTCAATAAGATTCTAATAACTACATATGGTGAGAAATGGGTATGAAATTTATCAGGATGATCACTTAGTACGTGATATAATGTCTAATCACTGGGTTGTACACTGAGTGGCCAGATTATTATGATCTCTGAACGCATAATAATCTGGTCACTTAGTGTATACTCTATATAATAAAAGGCTAATATGCAAATTGTCCTCTCTACCAGAAGTTGGACCAGCAGGCAGTCTGGCCAACTGTCCATGTCCCCTGTCTGTCCCTGTCTGGCCAAACCCCACCCATGCACAAATTCATGCACCAGGCCCCTAATATATATATATATATATATCTCACACACACACACACACACACACACACACACACACACACAAACACTCAGTGGCAAATAATCTGGCCATTCAGTGTACATCTGAAACTAATATGATATTGTATGTCAACTGTAATTGAAAAATAAAATGATTTAAAGTAAAAAAAAAAGAATTTCTCTCACATATACACAATACTCAAATTTAGATCATAAATGTATCCCTACAAAGGCATACAATAAACAAAAATAATTATATTAGCACAAGTATTAATTTTCAAGTGAATGGTGAAATAGCATTTAAAACTGTTTATTTGAAGTATTTGACAATACAGCATAAGTTTATATTACAAAGTTAATCAAATCAGTATTACCATAAATTTTTATATGAGTAAAGTCCAAATAAGGTCTTAATATTAAATAAAGTGATTCCACTTTATGTGGTTTTAGCAACAGTGCAAAACTTCAGGTTTTAATGATTTTGTTTTTATGAGTAATACCTGGATTTGCATTAGTATTTGGAGTTTCAAAGGATGTTTAATTACTAAGTATTTCACTTCTTACACATAATTATTACTCTTTTACGTATTTTTCCCTTTGTCAAAAACTTACTGCAAATCTAAAGAATTTCATATTTTTTATTACTTCAGTCACATACAATTTAAACAGACCAGTAACTGTATGTGTAAGAGTAAACCAGAAGCTTACCTGTGAGTACTATTGAATCTTTGTATCAAACGACTCCCATCTGCCAGCCTGATTTGAATCTTTGTTGTTGGCACTGAATCATCAATCAGAACAACTGCATTAAGTATGGACTTCTCCTCCTCTTCTGGGGAGGAAGGCGTACTGACAATTTCAGGTGTAAGGCTATGAAATAAGAATGAAAAAGTTAGAAAACAAATGCAAACACAAAAGACATATAATGAACTAAAGACAGTGGCATAACCACTGAGACCTATCCAGCCAGCCCCTCCTCTGGCTTCTGGACTAGCAAGGACATGGCTCCCTTTGGTCTCCCATACTTCTTCCAAGTTCTATCATTATATTACAGTTATTTTGGACCCTATGCTTTTGATTTAGTTTATCCAATCTCTTTGAAAAGCCTATTTGTGTGATCCTTCCTTCTTTATCCCTTTGAAATTTCATGAAACTGTTTAGCACATACAGGCCTTTAGTCAGAAATTGGAGCAACTTTGAGTTAACATAAAAAAAAGACTAAGAGCACAGACAGACTTGGTTTCAAACTCAGCTATGTTCATTGTGTAAACTTAAGTAAATTAATCTCTTTGAATCCCGGTTCTGTCATTTGTAAAATGGAGGAATACTGGGGTATGAAGGTATGTTATACAGGCATACCTCAGAGATTCAGGTTTGGTTCCAGACCGCCACAATAAAGCTGGTATCACAATGAAATGAGCATCACAATAAGGCAAGTTGTAATCTTTTCGCTGGCGAAGGGTCTTTGCCTTCATTTTATAAAAATAATGCAAAATCTATGAAGCTCAATAAACTGAAGTGCAATAATACAAAAGTGTTCCTGTACATTAAGTCCTAGAACACTTTATCACACAAAATCTAGTTGCTGGGTACTGAAGTACATGTGTGGGTCTTTAAAAAAGGCAGGTTAACATGTGTACTTGTATTTCCTACATGTCTCAGAAATCAGTCTCTAAAAGTAATGCCTTTATAATCAGCTAGTTATTAATAATGGGACAGAAGCAAAGGGAAGGCCAGACATTACAGGCATGTTCCCTGTGAAACACTGGGGAGAGCAGACTGGACATAGGGAAGATAGACACATGCCCAGTAAAGCTGGGCTGACAAAGGGAAGGAACTTGCCAGGGAATCACACCTGGTGAGAGATGGTTGGCCAGAATGAGTGTGGAAATTTGCAAGTGCATGAAAATTTGGGATGTATAATCCACTAAACAAAGAAGCTCATTCTCGTATGTTCTTGGCACACTTGGCTCATGGATCACACTTGGCTTCCTTGCATTCTCCCATGTGGCCCACGACCATGTGGATCTCTACACACAATGGACTAATGGACTTCAACTAGCCTGATACTGAACTGGACCCAACTCCAATATGGAACAAAAACTCTGTACCCTGGCTCTCACTTTAGCTTTATTGAAACCCCAGCTACACTTCTTCTGTGACTGATCTAAGGGAAATGGGACTTTGGAAACCCATGGGTGTAATTCCATAGAAATGCTTATTTCAGCAGTCCTTCAAGAACCCCACTCCCACTAGTGAAGGGGGAAGATAAGGAATGTTTTTCTCCAATAACAAAAGCAGAAAAGTATATAGAGATGGAGACTTGAGATATGAAAGACAATGATAAAGAACCGATACTGAATTTTTTCCTATTCTGAGGTGCGGGGAATAGAGAACCAGTGTGCACAAGGCAAATGAAAAGAACTTGGAAGGGAAGGAATTATATAAAAAGGGATAAAACATGCACAAGAGGGTACGTGGGACACATGATTAATGCCTCAATCCCACAGGTCACCTGTAGTGATATGTAGACAAATACAGGGTAACTTTTACCAACTTATTTTACAAGATTTATGAAGAGTCTTTTAAGCCAGGCTGTTTAAAGGAGTCCACTCATACACTATACCATGCACATTGGTTCCGAAATTATGCTCAGCAGAACCCAAGGGGTTCTTGGGAAATGTCTGAGATAATTCCTTCTTCTCCTACAACCAGAGGAACTCCAGTTTTATATGTGTTTAGATATTGGACTTCTATAACTTGAAGAAAGACTGTGGCTGCTTAAAATGTATTTGAGAACAACCAACTTAAGCACACTGCTTTGCTGCAAGAGCTTGGTGGCACTTAAGCATGCTTAAATCTATAATATAAGAAATCTATTGTTTTATCAATCAACAACCCCTTCCAATATCCCTCTTTGACACTATGTAATTAGAAAGAGGCAAGATGGTATAATGGTAAAAGCAGACTTTGGAGCCAGCATTCCTGGTTTGAATCTTACATGCTAATCACTCCCCACCTCAATCAATTTGGGCAAAATACTACATCTGCAAAAGAAGGAATAACAGGATCCATAGGGAAAGGGGATTGTGAAGATTAAATGAGTTAATATATGTAAAGTGCTTACAGGGCCAAGAATGTGGTAACTGGTAAGTATTAGCTATTAATATTGTCACCATCAGCAAAGTTTTAGTTTTTACTTTCTAGGTTATTTTGATATATTTTATTTCCAAAGAAAATTCATGTTGAACAAACACAGTATTTTTCTCATTTTAGGATTCTACCTTCCGAGTTTTTGTCCATCTCCACTAAAAGCCTTGAACCTCAATCTGGGTTTTATGTATTCTTGATCCTGATGATCCTCCATATCCAAGTTCACTTGGGCACCATGAACCAGTCGCTGAAGCTCCAGGGGAATTTCTCTTTAAAAAAAGAGGAAAAGGTTTTAGTTAGCTTTTTGGAAAGAAAAAAAAGAAGAAAAAAAAAAAAGAATCTATACTGTTGAGATTATATAGTCAAATTGAGATAACTGGAAAACCACAATTTTTGCATAAATTTGTAATATAAAAGTTTCTGTGTTGATTGATATTTCCTTATGTATAGGTATTTATTTCTTAAAGTTGCATCACATCATTCCTTAGAGATTCTCAACATAGGGATTTTTTGTTGTCATAGTGATCTTGGAGTGCTTCTGAAAAATTGTAAGGCAGCAATTCTTACCTAAATTAACACTAGAAAATTCCTATGAGGACATAACAGTTAATGCAGATATTGCTTTCCAGACTCCTAGAAGTTTTCAAAATGATAGGGATGTTTTGATTGTTGCATGGCTGCTGAGTGCTGCTGCCCAGTCAGGACAGGGAATGAATGATGCTCTGACATGGGGGAGTCATCTTGCACAATAAAGACTTGTCTCGGGCTCCACAGAACCACTGAATGCCCTGCCAAAAGTCATATGACGACGAATGACACTGTTTAAAATGTCTGAGCCTAAAACTTAAGGCTTAGGCTCTGTTTTACACATAAGCAAAACCACAAAACCTGTTTTTTGTGTGTACTGCTTTAATATGCTTTGCAATTTCCATCTTCCATATAAACTGAGGGAAGACTGCAACTTCTTTTTGTTTAGAACTTCAAATATCCCTGATGCACTGCCATTTATAGTAATGAAGTTGCCAACTTGCTATACTTCCCTATTCTGCTTTATGCCTATCACATTTATGTGAGAATGGCTAGACTGCACATAAGTGCAAATTATCTGGCTTTGTTATATCTTCTGGTGTGGTCATACTTGGGCATTGAGAAACTGAAATATGTGTAATTTAATGGTAAATTACTTTTCATCCCTCAATATTTTAAAGATAAAATTTAATTTTTTGAAAATAATATACATAGACTTATGAATTTTTCTTTGGAGATACTGAAGATGGTATTACAAAATATTTGTTATAAAAAGGGAATAATTACATAGCTGACAATCACTGTTTGATATCAATCACTGTTTTCAAGGAGTCATTTCTAAAACTTTCTTGATTATAATTTGTTTGAGAATATGATGTGGTTCAATTTTTAAAAAAATAGTATGTCATACTGTGTGAATAGTAGCCTATAAAGTTTATAGATTATTTTCACTTAACAAATTATTTTGATCTATATTATAGTACATTCATCATTAATACGTAAGTTCTTTTCTTCTACCATCTTGAAATAAGCATCAATTTCAACTGTATTGCTGATCTTCACTTAGCAGATGAACCCTTTTCCTATTTATCACTCCCATCTCTTCCCCGTGACTCTGCAGGGTTTCCGGTCCATAGCATTGACTTAAACGATCACATCTTGTGTTTACTACTCATCATACACTGCCTCCCACTTTTCTCAATGACTTCAGCATACTGCCTACAGCTTACAGCATTTCTAGCCTTTTTTTGATATCCTGACAGTATCTTTGAATTCAAATTCAAAATTCATGCTAATTAATGTTCTAAAATACACTTTCTCCAGAGTTTTCTTTCAGTATCTCAACTCCAATGACTTCCATCTCTACTCCACTTGGATATATTTCATCACTTGGAAAAGCCCTGTCTTCAAGGGTTGGAAAAGCCCTACTCCAATTCCTTTACTGCTACTTAAATCTCCCAGTTCATCACCAATATCTCAATAAAATATCTTATTCTTCAATGAGAAGGGCTAGTGAGTTATGATGTTCTTTAGACGGGTCAGAGCACTGTATATTGGTTTACTTTCATAAATTATAACTTCAAACTAACCTTTTGAAATCTTCTGCCAGCAGTAATGCCACTTTAAAAGATTTCTAATATAAGCTGCTGAATTTCAGGAATACATGCAATGAGTCACCCTGTCAACAGTAAGCAGGACAGTGGCTTAGTGGATGGGCAACTCATGCTAATAAATTAATTGATTTATTATACTGAGATGGTTCTTCTCTTAGAGTTGGGACCATAGTTTCATCAGATTTTTAAAGGGACCAATGTCTTACTGCCTTCCCACTCCCCACAGGAGAAAAGAGTAACTTACAGACAATAATATGTCCTTTGTGTACTTAGAAATACCCTTCACCCAGTAGTCACTTACATAATACAACTCTTATGTACCTTACTAAATGGCATTCTGCTTTAAAAAAAAGAAAAAAAGAAAAAGAAAAGTCCCACCCTGAATAAAAAAGAGAACACAATAATACAACTTACCCTCTTTTAACAGACTCCAGAAATTGAGCATTCACTGGATCATTGTATGGTCTCAATTCTCCATCATCTAAACTGAAACCATTGCTCCATAACTTAAGCAAAATCTGAACCTTTTGAGCACAAGAAAAAAAAAAAAAAAAAGATAAAGAAAATAAAAAAAAAATCTATTTGCATCAAACAATCTTACGTTTTAAATGTGATATTAAACAATTTACTTAATTTAAAATATAGTTATTTGTATTCCCCTTCAGTTAAAATAAAGACATAAGTGAAACCATGTGTGTCTGCTAAGCAGATTTGTATTTAGCTTAACGAACGGACCATTGCTGATAGACCAAAGGTCTCACAGGTCCCACACCTGGACCTTGGCTTCAAAGCACAACTATTTCTAGTTCATTGAGAAAACAAAAGTAATGAGAGCATCCAGCTACACTCTGCACCCACCCCCTCCTTCTGTAGGATCCCTTTCTTCTAATACAGAATTTAAATATTCATTCCCAGGGGCAAGACAGAATTTCCAGGGACCCGCCACGGAAACCTACACGTTAAAATAACTTCGAAATTTCAAAAGGTAACATAAATAACGACTTAGGTATTGCTATGTGTACAACTCAGCTCATTCTATATCATAACAATACACCATTTATAATAATCGTCATCATACATATATAAGCTTATTTTACACTTACTCATGCAATTCTTTCAACAAATAGTTATGTATCTCTAAGTGCAAGGCACATTAGGGATACAAAATATAAAATTTGAGACTGAAAACTTACAAATTAGGCCTTTTAATCTGTTTTACAATTTAAGAAAACAAAAAAGAAGATATTTATATTACTAACTTTAATTTTAAAATAAACCGTAGTAACTAGAGGCAAATATCTATAAATTTCACTTTGATTACTGTACCTACATCTTGCAGCTGATTTTCTCCATAGATGTATTCAGACTGTTTGCAAGAGGAATTACCCAATCTGTATCCTCCACCTGAAAAGAACTAAAATACAAAGCAAGTGAGTTAAAAATTCTCTAAGGTTTATTAAGCAGTATGTTGCAATAATCCTATATAATAAAGGCCTAAAAAAGTGACTGAACAGCAGAATGACTGGTCGCTATAACATGCACTTACCACCAGGGGGCAGATGCTCAACACAGGAGCTGACCCCTGGTGGTCAGTGCACTCCCACAGGGGGAGCGGTGCTCAGCCAGAAGCCAGGCTCATGGCTGGCGAGCACAGCAGCGGTGGCAGGAGCCTCTCCTGCCTCCTCTACAGGTGGGCGACAGTAGTGAGGGGGTCCAGGACTGCGAGGATGTCTGACTGCCGGCTTAGCGGGGGGATCAGGTCTAAGCCAGCAAGTGAACATTGCCCTGAAGGGTCCCTGACTGTGAGAGGGTGCAGGATGGACTGAGGGACCCCTCTGAGTGCATGAATCTCTGCTGTGTGATATATTTTTTAAAACTAAATTAACTATAATCAGTTAAATGGGTTTTTATTTTCCAGGAAAACAGCATATTAACATTAAAGTCTTATGTTACAATATAGAGATGTGTATTCAAGGAAGAAACTATGATTCTTGCGCTGGCTGGATGACCATGTGGTGGTTTAGGAAACCTCCCCAAATGATTTGACAAAAGAAACCAAGTTGGAAAATGTTAATTATGAGAACATATGGCAATTATACACAAAAATATGCTTTAGTATACCTATACTGCATCTAGAAAGTTTTGCAGAGACTGAAGAAGGTACAAAAATCTACACTAATAAAAAAGAAAGATGCAAATTAACCATGCCTTCACAAGACCCATCAGCCAATCAGGAGTGAGTATGCAAATCTACCCAACAAAGATGGTGGGTTAATTTACATACTCAGGCACTGAGCGACCGGGGGCAAAGCAGGACACTTGTGTTTTCGCCATGACAATGATGCAGGCGTTCCCCACCAACTCAGCCACTCAGGGGCTCTGGGCATCGTGGGAAGGTGGGGCAAGAGCGAAAAGAGGCTGCTCCGGGACCAGAGTGGAAAGAGGCCACTCCAGGCAGAAGCGGAAAGGCGGTGCAGGCAGCCAGAGAAAGGAAGGTCCATTTTAACATGAATCTTTGTGCATTGGGCTTCTAATAATACAATGAAAGAAAATGAGCCTTTCAACAATGTTGGAGCAATTTGTCTTCTGCACAAGTCAAATTAAGAACCTTGACTTAATCTTTATGCAAAATCAATTCACAATGGGTCAGAGGTTTAAATGGAAAACTATAAAATATTTCTAGATAACACAGAGAAAATCTTTGGGACCTAAGGTTAGGTGGAGAGTTCTTAGACAAGACACTAAAAATATAATCTGTAAACAAAAGATAAATTGGATTTCATCAAAATTTAAAACTTGTGCTTTATAAAAAACCCTGGTATGTGAATAAAAAGACAAGCTACAATCTAGGAGGAAATATATACACAAAAAATGTATCTTACAAAGAATCCATATCTGTTAAAGAACTCTCAAACAATTTTCTTTGTAACAAAATAATCCAATTTGAAATTGGGCCAAAGTTAAGAAGAGACATTTTGCTACAGAGGAAAAATAAAGAGAGGGTAGCTCATTTGGTTGGAGTGTCTTACTGAGATGCTAAGGTTGTGGGTTCCATCCACAGTCAGGACATACACATGATCAACTAATGAATGCATAAATTAGTGGAACAACAAATCTCTCTCTCTCTTCTTCCTACTCCCTCTCTTCCTTTCTCTCTCTCAAGTCAATTTTTTAAAAACCTATAGGGGAGATCAAATATATAAGTAGCATCCTTAGTTTTGAAATTGAGCATTTACCTTAGTTTTGTCATCACCTGAAGCTCTTGTGGCTTCTTGTAGAGGGACAGCCCCATGCTCCTTTGCCTCTCTGAAAAGTTCATTCACTATTTTCCCAGTTGAAGGTCGAACCAGATGCAATCCACTGTATTCTTGCTCACTTGAATAGAACCTTTAAACATTACATACAGTTCATGAATAAAAACTTTGAATACAGACATAAACTACTTTAAAGTAAAAAGCTACAGACTTAGAAAATAACTTTAATGTAAAAATAATTTATATGCCTTCTGTGAAAATGTCTAATTTAAAAATTAAGATTAAGGAATTAACTAGTGAACAGTTCATATAGTTTCTTGTGGAATTTGTAGAGATTCCTGTAGCAAGCTCAGCATGCAGCATGAGAACAGGCTTGGTTCTTCCTCCCTCACCCTTTCCAATCACTTATCAAATCACTTTTGGAGTGTGATGGGGAGAAGTGGTGGCAACCAAAAGCTGAGTCTTTTCCCTGAGGAATCTACAATCACTAAGGACCTTGTTAGTGAAGAGACCTCTAGAGAGTGTGAACACCTAAATCTAAACTGCAGAGTTCATGGAGGGTTTACTCCTAAGAGTTCTCTGGACTGAAAAATTATAACCCTGCATTAAAGGTAAATAATTTAAACTCCAAACAAGTTTTTTAGTGTATTAACCATATAGAAATCGATTTCTACTCACTCCAACTTTATTTATTTATTTATTTATTTATTTAATTAATTTAATTTTTAATATATTTTATTGATTTTGTACAGAGAGGAAGGGAGAGAGATAGAGAGTTAGAAACATCGATGAGAGAGAGTCATCGATCAGCTGCCTCTTGCACACCCCCTACTGGGGATATACCCGCAACCAAGGTACATGCCCTTGACCGGAATCGAACCCGGGACCCTTCAGTCCCCAAGCCGATGCTCTATCCATGGAGCCAAACCAGTTTCAGCTCACTCCAACTTTATAATGGTCTTCCAGAACATAAAAATTGCCTCTACATTAGTTTCCTATTTATCTTTTAAGATTCTTTTCAATCAAGAATAACAGAAAACATAGCCAATGAAATATCAACATGGAGACTTCAAGTATAAGGCGACAATCAGAGCTCATGTTTTTAACTACCCATTCCATCCAAATCAGTTCCAAATCTGCACTGAACTGACCCACAAAACAAAAAGTAAGTGGGCAAATTATATCAGCACTAGAGACAAAGAATGAAGGTCACCTTCAACACTTTCTCCAAAATTAGTATGTGCAAAACTGAACAGAGAGGGAAGGGCAGACCAGTTCTCAAATTCACTGTAAGTGAAGGAAAAGTCCACCTGGAGAACCCGTGGGGACTAGCAAGCAAAACCCACTAATGTAAGCTAACATAAGGCTGGCTCACAACTGCTGAGGGCAGAGGTGGAAATGGAGGCGGGGTTGCCCCCATCCTGCTAAAGTCTGGGCAATACACTGAGGCCCAGGTTACTCCCAGCAGGAGCCACCAGAAGCTCTCCTGCCAAGCTTATACTGAGCGTCCACATGCTACCATAGGTGGCTCTTTTTTCTTTTAAATTACAATTTATATTCAATATTATTTTGTATTAGTTTCAGGTGTATAGCATAGTGGTTAGATAATGACATACTTTACAAAGTGATCCCTCAATATTTCTAGTACCCATCAGGCACCATATATAGCTGGCTCGTAAGATAAACATTAGTATTAGGAGCTATACAACAGAGAGGTAGCAACGAGAAAGGGAGATGAAGAGAAAGGGAGAGAAAATGATATAAAGAAAGGAAAGGGTATTGGGGAGAAAGACCTCACTGGAAAACCTAGATAAAGTTTATTTTTAAAAGATTTCAAGGCCGTTTAAAATAATTTGGGAATAGTGAACTAAAAGGAGATACAATTTTTAAAAAACAAGAGAAATACTTACCTTTGAGGTGGTGTTCGTGGGCTTTTAAAGATGGAAGCTTTAGGTCTCTCAGTTGTGGAAGATTTGCATTTCACTTCACCTTTGTACAATTCTGCCAAGGCCAACTATAAAACAACAGATTTGTTATACAGTATAATACTAGAAATAAACTCTCATACACAACTAGAAATTATGAGAACATTAATTTGTAAGTGCATAGTAAAGAGCTCTTCTGAAGCTCCACTGCTTCAGAAGATGACTTTTTCAAAATAAAACCAACGCATACTCTTCTTTTATAAAACTAACCAACATATCACAAATATTAGAATAAACTAAAGATACAATAATTATTTAATTATTTTCAAATAACTATTAAACAGTTTCAAAAACAGTATTTGGTAACAGGTCATTTTCAAAGCTGACCCTAAATTCTACAATCCTTTTAAAGATGTTTCACAACCTGCTCCCATCAGATGTTAAAAATTATTTCCTTTAGCTGTTCAAGTTTTCAAAATCCAAACACATAGAGCAATTTCAAAAGCATTCTTTTTAAAAGTCTACTAGACATATAAGTTTCATAAAGTTTAGGAAATTAAGCCACTGGAAAATGAAAAACAATGAATTACATACATGGTTTGTATAACTTTTAGAAAACAATACTACCAAATTATGCATTATAGATATATGGCTGGCTATCTGCAAAATGAAATATCAAAACATAGTTCATGAAATTGGAATTTTAAAAAGTTAACCAAATATTTCAGAATTAAGTTATTTTGTTCCCGCGGGCAATGAGGGAAGGAGGAAGGGGGGAGGCAGGGAACTGTGCAGTGGCGGTGCTCATGGGAGGCAAGGGAAGGAGGAGGTGGGGAACCGCAGAGTGGCAGCATTTGGGCAGCAAGGGAAGGAGGCAGGGAACCAAGTCTGCCCTGGTTGCCAGCCATGCCTAGGGACCCCACCTGTGCACAAATTTCTGTGCACTGGGCCTCAGTCTCTCTCTATAAAACCCTAAGGGACCCTTGTGACCAAACGACCAGCTGGTCGCTATGATACACACTGACCACCAGGGGCAGATGCTCAACGCAGGGTCTGCCCCCCTGGTGGTCAATGTGCTCCCACAGCCAGCCAACTTCCTGTGGTCCCTTCCCCAGGCCAGCCAGTCCTGATCGCCCTGACTGGAACTGTGAGAGACAACCCCAATTGGCCCTGATCACTGGCCAAACCTAGTGACCTCACCCGTGCACTAGGCCTCAAGTTCAATTATAATTGGCCTGGTCATAATCTTTGAGGGAAAGAAAAAAAACAAAAAAAACAAGAAACAAAACAAAATCACACAATAAAATAGATAAGGTGCTCCTTCTAGAAACACAAGGGATAAGAAAATGACTTCCAGGGTTTCTTTCCTTTGGAGGAAAAGAGCAGGGGATGGGGGAAAGTTAATTCTTTGAAGATTCTATTAATAAACTTTTAAAATATACACATTAGGAAACAAAAATGAACAGTTTTATTTTTCCTTCCTAAATTTTACCCTCACTCTACCCACATACATACCAGCTTCCATATTTCTAACAGCAATTTGCTAGACATACTAATCATAAAAGTGCTTTGTAATCCAAAAGAACTGAATTAAATCCTAACTTAGGCTCCTATTGTGATGGTGGGCAAATTTTTTAACTTCTCTAAAAGCTTCCATCATCTTTAAATGTCTGTTAAAAAATTACCTTAAAGAGTTGTTGTATGGAATACACAGTCTATGTAAAACACAAGACAAGTGCTCCATTACTAGGAGATATTATTTTAAAATGTTTAATAATGATTATATTAGTGTTTCATTTTCCCCAAGATCTCTTTTCTTTCTGCAGTGCTATTTGTATATACTTTATTCCTTAAGAACAACAACAAAAATGAGAGTGAAAGAGACACATAGAGACAGAAACTGAGACAGTCGCTCTGACTGACAACTTGGGCTCAAAGTTTTTGGAAATTTTAAAATATATATTTTTTATTGATTTTTTACAGAGACGAAGGGAGAGGGGATAGAGAGTTAGAAACAACAATGAGAGAGAAACATTGATCAACTGCCTCTTACACACCCCCTATAAGGGAAGTGCCTGCAACCAAGGTACATGCCCTTGACCAGAATTGAACCCGGGACCCTTCAGTCCACAGGTCCACAGGTCGACACTCTATCCACTGAGCCAAACTGGTTAGGGCAAGTTTTTGGAAATTTTACCTCCCTGAAATCTCTACAAAAGAATAGCCCTTTATGGATTTCCTCTGGAACTGTCTATATTATTTGGGCTCTATGAATTACTTTTATGCTATTCCTTTCCCATAAATGGAAATCTTATCTGTATTGCAAAGGCTCATTTAGCCATCCTTCATGAAACCTATCCTAATTTTCTCAACTAAATGATATTTTTTTCTAAATCCTCATAGCTCTCTTCTCACTAAGTTAATATTAAACACTAGAGGGCTGGTGCATAACGTTTGTGCACTGGAGTGTGTGTTTGGGAGTGCCTTGCAGTCCGGGACCCCATTCCCCGGGCAGTGAGCCTAAGCCAGCAGGTGGATGTCCCCTGAGTGGTCCTGGACTATGAGAGGGTGCAGGCCAGGCTGAGGGATACCCTCTTCCCCTGATCCTTAGTGCCCCGGGCTACTCGTTCATAAATAAAAACCCTATCTTCTAATTGATGGTGGCACTAACAGAATATCTGATCGTTCATCATATTATTAGTCCACTGGATTATTGGTAAATTTGCCAAGAATCAGGTGATCAATAGTCAATAACATCACCCCTACTTTATAAATAAAGGCTCTAAGGTCACACAACTACTACCCTGTTTCCCTGAAAATAAGACAGTATCAAGAATTTACTCATTTAGTCAATGACAATCATGTCATCATCTTCTGGAACATCATCATAACAATCCAATTCCTGAATTTCCTGGTGAATTTCTTGTGACTCCATTTCTTTTAGAATCAGTGGACTAAATCTCTCATGTTTAGCTGGGAGGGGGCCTTATTTTCGGGAGGATGCCTTATATTTCACTCAGAAGGAAACCTGTAAGTAGGTCTTATTTTCGGAGGATGTCTTATTTTCGGGGAAACACGGTAAGTGGCAGGACCAAGGCGCTAACTGAAGTTGCTCTGATGAGAATCTCCATGTTCCCCCAGCATCCCATGCTGCCTCTTGGTGAGGGCGGTCCACAGCAGAAAGGAAGGCAGACGATGGCTTTGCTATTCCTCCATGCTCTTTACTCCCGCTGAACTGACTTATGGGCAATGGAGCGACTGGACGCTGGGCTCATCTCCTAACCTGATCTTACCATCCTCCAAGTCCGCATGTTAAGCACTGCTTATTTTGGCACTCAATCGTACCCCATCTTAAATGCTACCCAAAATATATTCCTCTTATTTCTGTAAAAAAAAAAAAAAAAAAAAAGTAAAAATGTCTTTTTAAAATTGTATGCCTTCCAACGGTGTCCAGCACCAACTTAGCAGTGTGTCCCGAGGCAGGGGGTCCACATTTGTTCAGAGAAGTAGGGAATGGAAGTGGGACCACAAAGCGATGGTCCCAAGGCTGTGGATTCAGTGCCATGTATGTTTCATTAAACAGCTTGCTAGAGACGGCCACTTGTTGAGTTTTATCAATGATCTCCTAAAGAGACCGAAGGGGGGAAGGGGGTGGAAAAAGGCCTAAAACGAGCAAAGTCGTGTTAAGCATCTGATAAAAGCAAAGGCCGGTGCAGGCCTACTGAGTAGCTACTTAAAACATCGTCCCGTTTCAATTCCCCGGTTCCAGGGTGCAATGTTTAATAATGTTTAATAATGCAATGTGGCCTTTACCACGAGGCTGTGCACCCCTAGGATGACATACTTCAGCGCACCCCTTTAAAAGGGAGAAGCTGCTGAAACCGGTTTGGCTCAGTGGATAGAGCGTCGGCCTGCGGACTGAAAGGTCCCAGGTTCGATTCCGCCACATTGGTGGCGGGCACATGCCCGGGGAGGGGGGTGGGGTGGTGGTGGTGGTGCAGGAGGCAACCTATCCATGATCCTCTCTCAGCATGTTTCTCTCTATCCCTCTCCCTTCCTCTCTGTAAAAAAAAAAAAAAGCAATAAAATATATTTAAAAAAATAAAAAATAAAAGGGAAAAGCTACCTGATTAAAAAAAAGAAAAAGAAAAAAAGAACCGTTTCTACATCCAGGAGAGGAGCAGCATCTAGAACCCAGAGGAAGCCAGCACACCTGTTACCACTTTCTAAGTGCGCGCCGATTCCCCCTCCGCCCCGTCAGCCTCTCCTCCTCGGCCAGACTCCGGGACACCAACCGCAGAGCCACTCCCCGACCCCGCAAGGCGCCGCTCCGCGCGGCTCAGGGGCTCCTCAGTGCGGGGGGAGGAGGGGAACGGCCGCTGGTCCCCACGAGCACCCCGGGCGCCGCGCCGGGGAGACTGGCGTCGCCCGCGTCCCCGCTCGGTCCCCGGGTCCGCCTCCCGCCCGCCCCCGCCCGCGCCCCGCCCGGCGCCAGCCCCGCCGCGGCCGCTCGCCGCACCTGCAAGTCCCGCGCGCTCGGCGGCCTCGGCCCAGAGGGTCTGTCCGGCTCCTCCGGCGCCGCGTCGCCGCCCTCCGCCATCTTTCACCCGCTCGCAGGTGCCAGCGCCAGCGCCCGCGGAAGACGTGCCTCCTGCTACTTCCGGGCCGGTTGCCTGGCAACGCGGGAAGCCGTCGCCCCCCCCCCCCCCCCCCCGCTTCCTCCTGCGCCGGTGCGCGCCCCTCGGTTCCGGCGCTTCCCTACCTGTCCCAGCCTCGGGGTTCCCTTAGGAAATGGGCTGTTTCCCGGTAGAGAGGCCTCTGCGTCCGGAGAGCTTCCTGTCCCCGGAGGCGATCCTGAAGATTCTGCAAGCCGCCACACGGGGCAGCATAGACTTGCAAGTTCTTTTAAGGAAACAATGAGACCAGAACAGAACGTCCTTTGGATGTTTATCTGAGCCAAGCTGCCTCCTTACTTTTTTTTTTCTTTCTTTTTTTTGTTTTAATATATTTTATTGATTTTGTACAGAGAGGAAAGGAGAGAGATAGAGAGTTAGAAACATCGATGAGAGTCATCGATCAGCTGCCTCTTGCACACCCCCTACTGGGGATTATGCCCGCAACCAAGGTACATGCCCTTGACCGGAATCGAACCCGGGACCTTTCAGTCCCCAAGCCGACGCTTAAATGCTCTGTGCGATCAGAACTAGAGACCACTGCCCTGACCGGTTTGGCTCAGTGGATAGAGTGTTGGCCCGCGAACTCCAAGGGTCCCAGGTTCCATTCCAGTCAAAGGCATATAGCTAGGTTGCAGGTGTGTGTGTGTGTGTAAGAGGCAGTTGATCGATGTTTCTCTCTCATCAATGTTTCTAACTCTCTATCTCTCTCCCTTCCTCTCTGTAAGAAAATCAGTAAGATGTATTTAAAACACATACACACACACACACACACACACACACAACAACCAGCGACTACTAAACCCTCCCAGTTCATCTGAGGTTTATTTAAACTCTCCTTTTAACCCAGGCCCTTTTATGCCCCCTGGATGCAATGGTAAAAACCTAGTTCCACTCAATATAAAACTCACCATCTAGTGGGGGAAAGAGGAAACAGATAATAAAATGCTATTATTTGCAATAGAGCCCCAAGAAAATGTTATTATTGCCAGACAGCCCCCCTTAATGGGAAGGGGTGGAACTGTCTCCTCTGAGGATGAGAGAAGTTTTATGCCAGTTTCTGTTGAAAGACACTTTATGTAATATATATTGTTGGTTCATTACCACTGAACTCACAGTCAGCAGCACTGTAACTCATGCCTGAACAGAGCTCATCTAATACATGTATTTTCTCTGCAAGGCACATTCACAGCCCTCTTGTGCTTAGGAACTTGGGCTTGCAAACAGCAGTTCTACATTACATTTAGGGCCATTTTCAACAGCAAGTTTACCAATAAAATGCAAAAAAATGCAAAATGATGATATAAATAGACTGCGCATTTTATTTACAGTACAAACGCTGAATCAATGTCCAATCTAGGACATTTCCTCCTTTATCTTCAGCTGGGAATATGCTCGCTGGGCAGTTCATTTCCTTTGCTTCCGTGTGCATGTCTGTGAATGATCACTAAAGCCCTCAGAGTATTGACCTGGGGTTACAAATGAATTTTATTGAGTAGGTGAATTTGCAAATACGGAATCTGCAAATAGACAATTGACTGCTTTTAGGATTTACACATCTATTTTCCAATACTTCCTTCTTGACATGCATTTCCAATTGTCTTTTCAACTGTTATTTTCATTTGGGTGTCTCAAACTCAAATTCCTTTTTTTCTCCAGTGCATTCCCCTGCAATGACAAGTGGCCAGATGCTCCAAAGGTGAGACAAAGAGAAAAATGGGTTCCTTCTGCTTGTATCCAAGAGAAAGATGCAACTGCCAGAAAGGAGGGAGACAACCTGTGCTTCCTGGAGATGGGATGGAGGGGGTGCTGGGTTCCCACTCCAATTGTTTGGAATGTAAATCTCTCTCTCTAAGGGCCACAGAATCTCTGAGGTCTTTTTCATAACCTGGAGATGTCTCCACAGTCCTGGGCCTCATTTTCCCTTGCCACGTGAACACATACCATGAGAAATCTTGCTGCTCTCTCTCTCTCTGGATTTCTCACTTTCTATAAAGTTGCAAATTAACTTCCCAAGACTTGCTCTTAGCTCAGAACCCAACCCTTATTATTATTATTGTTTCAGCAAAATGTACTCAGAAAGCCCCAACTCTGCAGAAACACAGAAAGATGTTCTCTAAGCTCCACAAATAGTTGACTGACTATGCAAAGCAGATGCCATCCTCTTTGGCTTACACCCTACCCTCTTTACTCCTTAAAAATGTCAGAGAGGTTTCTATCCAAGCTCGATGTTTATGTCTGTTATATTTCCTTAGATTTATTGCAGAGGCCACTATGTTTCTGTCTTCTCTGCTGAAGGCTTGAAGGGTTTAGGGAAGGATTTGGCATCTCAGGTTACCCAGAGCGGGTCACTTGGACATTAGTTAGCATGTTTTTTCTGTGGCTCCCACTCTACTATGCAGCACTGTCCCCAGGACGAAGGTGGAATTTCTCCCTCTCCAATTTCCAAGTCCAGATTCCCCATGCTTTGTCAATCAGAACAAATGTTTTAAAATAATTATCACTGAGAAGTCCCTTGCTGTTTTACCTGCCATTCTGAGCTATTAACAAGTTCCTTTAGAAGAATTCTGGTGAATACAATCAGTTCAATCTTATCAGATTCGTGCATATTTGATTATGTATCTATTTTTTGAGTTTAATTTCTGATTGGTCTTGGTTTTATAAGAGGTTTCTTGGCCTATGAATGGAGTGCTCCTGAACACACACACACACACACACACACACACACACACACACACACAGTATGTGCAATGCAAAAATGGAAAATGCTTCACCAGAGGGAGCACCAGCTCACAGACTTCAACTGAGAATGCAGCTCCACATTCTTCCCAAACTTTATAAAACATGAGCATACAGTGTTATATAAAATATGCAAAGGGAGGATTAAATATGTTGCCGTGATTGTTATTATGTATAAATGTAAAGTTGAATTTGGTGACAGAGAGAATGAGCTACTGAAGTGAAAGTCTCAGTGGCTGTTTCCATTCATTTTATAATAGCTCAAGAAAGAAAGTTTTAAAAAATTATTTAAAGTATCTAGTATGACAATTTTATTAATTGATTTGATTGCAAATTTTTTAAACCTTCATCTTTTTTGAGGGAAGCACACTCCCTGGAGATCTCACAAACATCCAATATTTTACTTCTCCAGTGCCCGGGCCCTTCCCAACTCCCACCCTTCACTCCTCTCCCTTGGCCTCAAGACAAACACGCCCAGTCCCCACTCTAAGAATAAAGGGCAAGAATTATGGTAGTAAATATGAATTTAAAAAATCCAATATGTAAAATTTCACCCTAAATTGACTATGGGACCAAGATCCTCCATGCCTTGTTGAGTTCACATTTTATAGAAGCAGGAGGTTAACCTTCATTGTCATAGTGCAGCACGGATCTGAAAGGGAAATCTTTGAGAGAGCTGTAAGATATAAGACTAATACAAATGTATTCGTAAGTAAAAAGAACTGTTTAGCTTTTGAAATTGGGTGAGGCCCGTTGGAGCCTGTTGCTATTTGACTCTGACTGCAGCCAAGAAGAGATGAGGTCAAGGCTAAACAGCGTTGGTATTATTCCCGTCTGTGCTTCTGTGCTCTTTACAGTGGAAAAGATGGGGGAAGCTTTTGCTAGTTCTCTCTTTTAACTTAAAAAAATTTTTTTAAAAATTTATTTCAGAGAGGAAGAGAGAGGGAGAGAGAGAAACATCAATGATGAGAGAGAGTCATTGATTGGCTGCCTCCTGCATCCCCTCTACTGGGGATCGAACCTGCAACCTGCCCTGGCGGGGATTAGAACCTTGACCTCTTGGTTCATAGGTCGATATTTAACAACCGAGCCACACCCATTGGACTTCACTTTTTATTTGTCTTCTATTTCTTGCCAAATAACATGAATTCATTTGATCAAAATACTTGGCCTCAGGCTCCCATTATTCTTCTGCCATCAACAAAAGCATCAGCAAGCGCCCTCAGCCTAAGCACAACTGTAAATAGTGTCAGTCCTGGGAATAACAGCCTTAGACAGAGGGATTAAAGGGACACATCTGTTAAATAAGTAAATATGGCTAGAGTAAGTGGATGCTTTTAGAGCTGCACAAAGCAGCAGCAATGAGTATTTCTATTGTTGCTGTCCAGATACAAATCAGAGATTTTCAAAGAGCATCACTGGCTAGAATGAGAGATCACCTAGGACAGTGGTCGGCAAACTGCGGCTCACCACTCTGTTGACTAAAGAGTTTGCTGATCACTGACCTAGGGAGCTGAGGGATCCATAATTAGTTCAGGCCATAATGCTAAATGAAATAAGCCAGAGACATTTTAAACACAAGTACTATTTGGTACCTTATATGTGGAATTTTTGTTTTTTTAAAGGCTGAACTACCGTGTTTCCCCGAAAATAAGACATCCTCCAAAAATAAGACCTACTTACAGGTTTCCTTCTGAGTGAAATATAAGGCATCCCCCAGAAAATAACCCCCCCCCCCCAGGCTCTGTCTCAGAATGAAAATTAATTTACCGTAAACTGGTTGCTAGGGCTGCCCCGACTGGAGAGAAATCAACGTGGAAACTTTGTGAAACCTAAACTGCAAGAAGTTGTGAGTTGGGTGAAGAATTCATGGGAGAAAATCACTGACAGTTGCATTGCAAATGCACTGCGAGCAGGCTACCTTGACAAGAAGTACTCATTTAAAGACAGTGCTATTGCTAAACATGAGAGATTTGGTCCACTGATTCTGCAAGAAATGGAGTCACAAGAAATTCACCAGGAAATTCAGGAATTGGATTGTTATGATGATGTTCCAGAAGATGATAACATGATTGTCATTGAATAAATGAGTAAATTCTTGATACTGTAGGATTCACAGTTTGTCTGGTTTGTGTTGACAACTACCGTACTACCATATCGTATACAGGTAATAAATTTCCTTTATTTT